AAAAAAAAAAAAAAAAAAAGGGCATGACTGTGCCGAACAAACTGACTGTTTCGTCGGACTTTCACCGACTCATCAGGAGGAGGTTGAACCTGGACAGACAGTCTGCCCAGGATGCATGTGACTGATGATGGATAAGGACTCACCACATCGCCCAGAGGTAGCGATACCCATTCCTGAGAGAGAAAAGTGGTGGACTTTACTCACACCAACCGTGACCGTGCATGTGTGTGTGTGTGTGTTTACAGGGGCCTGGTTTAGGGCGGCCTTAAACAGCCAGAGTACCTTTCCGAGCTACGGGCTGCAGGCCCTGCGAGCCGAGTTTCGGCCGTGCATCTGGACGCCACCGGAGGCCGGGTGTGGCCTCCATGTTAACCGGCACGTCTCGGCGTTTAGGCTGGGAAAGGTACTGGAGGTTTAATACTGAGAGGGGACCGCAATCAGGTCGATGTGAAGCTTCGTTAGAAAGACGGAACGCGGAAGAAGAAGCATAGAGCAGTCGTGGAGAATGAGAAAGGGGTGAGGGAGAAGGAGAGGGAGAAGGAAAAGGAGAGGGAGAAGGAGAAGGAAAAGGAGAGGGAGAACCCACAAACAAAGAAGACCATGGAAACTTGAGTACACGCAAAAAAAAGAACAATGGCACTTAATTAATAATGACACAAGAGCACTCGTAGTGCCATCTGGCGCGTGTCCCTAGGACCATGTCAACCTTCTCGCCCTCAATAGAAGGCATATAGCTTTTGAAAAAATTATAAATACTAGAAAGTAACATAGTGGAAAGAAAATGAAAAAAAAAAGACTGTGGTATGTATGTAAAACAAAACCCAGTTTTGAAATTAAAAAAAAAAAAAAAAAAAAAAAAAAAAAACCTTAAAAAACAAACAAAAAAAAAAGCCAACAACATAACTTCTACAATGAAGATCAAATATCGAATCCCCATTTCGAGGACAGATCTTAGGGCGTCGCCACACCACTCTCGAAATGTGCAAAATGAGAATGAACTTCCCGCTCGAACATAGCCAGATGCGCCCGCCAAATTTTTGTCTTTTTCACATTTCGAGAGTGGTGTGGCGAGGCCCTTAGCTCGAATCCTGTGGACTCAAAAATATTAGGGCACGGGGCTACCCTCTTTCAGGAACCAGAATAAAATGGAAAAACGTCAGGCGCTACCTCCGTTTTTTATCTGGGAGGGGGCCTGCAAAGGCGGAAAGAGGAGGAGGGGGGGGGGCCCAGGGGGGGAGGGAGGAAAGAAAAAAGAAAGAAAGAAAGAAAGAAAGAAGGGGTAACTACGGCGCAGTCACGAAAACAGTTTGTAAATGCATTTCAAACTGCGTTTTGGCACTTCAGTCAGGGCCCGAGTTTGAAATCCAGTTC